TAATTTCGTGGCGCGTGACAGAATCCATAATTTCGTGGCGCGTGACAAAATCCCCCCCTACCTGCACGAGAAGGCATCCTTATTCCCCATAAGTGTGCTATGCGTTAGAACCTTTTCATTCGTGTCAAAGCCAAGCCACCATTCTTGAATCTTTTCAGAAAAAAAATAATTTTCCGAAAAAAAAATCAGAAAAAATTTTTCCTACTTTCATGAATTTTTCAAACGTTTCTCTATCAGCATTCTTCAGGCTGCGCAACTGAAAATGAAAAAAATCAAAACAAAAATCGCTTCGCTCCGCCTACTTGCGGTAACGCCAACGCCCGCGGGTTCAATTTTGAATTACTATACTGCATCTGGTCATCAAATCTCCTGTAGTCCTAAAAGATATCTTCAGGTTGACTTGACAAGATACAAAATAGGTTCCCTTACCCTCAGGGCGCGCGCGTTTTCCCCTCCATAATCTTGCGAATCTCCATTTGTACTACCGTACTTCTCAATAACACTCCGCAAACTTTCCACCCTGTTTTTCAAACCCGTCGCTTTATACCTGAAATCAAAAAAAGGCGGAGCGAAGCAATTTTCGTTTATCCAAAAAATACGCTTCGGACCTATTCCGTATCATACCATGTCAACCTAAAGATACGCCCCCACATCCTTACAATTCATTAGCAATCCTGTCTGCTAATATAGTCATCATAGAGGGATCAATGCCACTGTGGAAATCCCTTCTCGGAAGTTTCTGAAATAAATACCATTTTTTCGCAAAAAAAATAAAATAAAAACCAAAAAACCGAAAAAAATTGGAAAAAGTAAAAAAATTGTGAAAAATGAAATTACGGTAAAAATGACATCCGTGGGATTCGAACCCGAGACCCCTCCCTACCCGACTGCTTCCCTCCAATCTACGCCTCCAATCATCCTCCTCCTCCCCCCCATGCTCCTCACTATACCTACTGACGACAACCGCGCTCGCCCTAGTAATCGATTTCACACCCTGCTACTTCATGAAGTCTTGATTCACATCAAAGGTGAATGCCTTTCTATCATCATCACACTTCGGATAGTTGGCTCGAACTCCTCTACGATCGATCGCATTCTCGTAGGCACTGAAGGGAAGTATCCAAAGGTTCCCCCCCAAAGATTCAAAACAGGCCCAAAAACTGCCTACGCTGTAACTCTCTCAAGAGCCTCTTTCCATTCCTGTCGACTCAGCTCCTCCGCGAATCTTCCCGCACACAATGCCGTGGGAATCTCCCCATCTACGCAGTATGAAGAATATCTTTCAATCCGTCTGCCACTCGCTCAACCTCAAGATACCCCGCCTACTTCCCATCTCCTCCATCAACGCATCCTCCTTTCCCAAACTCGACCGCGGCGCCTAAATATCCAAGGTTCACGCGACAAAGATTCAAAACAGGTCCGAAAATGGCACATTACAAAAACTATCCCCGACAGCTCCGTTCGTTTGTGCAAAGTCTTCGTTTTTGAGCTGCAACTCGTCACCCTTCCCATAGGATCAATTTCAATTCTTTCACGACTCCATTTATCTGAAGAAAAAATCAAAAACAACTGCAGTTTTGAAATTTCCTCCCAGAATTTCCATATTGTCATCATCACCAACACATGTAGTTGATGACCATGTGTATGTTTTCCTCAGCTGAGCTCAGGAGTTTACAAAAACCAACAATAATTTTCCAAAAAAAAATCCCAAAAACCACTACAAAAGTTTCCCAAAAATTTTACAAAAATTTTACAAATTTTTTTCATATTTTCACCAACACACGCACAGTTGTCCTCCATAATACTACTATTTCCATATACGTAGTGCATCGTCGTAGTAGCAGGGGCCAAATTCATAGGTAACTGCGCAATACCAACCTTCTCTTCCTCTCCACTGGTAGACGATGACACTAAACAACAACAATACCAAAGTCATGTGATATTCGCGGTGATATGCAGTAGTCATGAAATATATTTTTTTCATATCACTAGGGTGGTGGTGAAACTCTAATATTTCACAAAATAAATGGAAAATCCAACGAAAATTGCGAATTTTATTTATTTCCCGAAATCGAAAAAATATATAATTATAAGAAATTTACCACTTCTAACGTAATTAAAATTTTGTCAGGAAAATTTATGATTTTCGAACCGCCAAAAAACGAGAAGTGAAACGTGAAATGTATTTTTTACTACTGTTCTTCATACCACCAACTCGAAATTCCAAAAATAATAAAATAATAAAACTCCGTAATTTTTACAACAACCAAAACTAAACTAAAATCTAATGAATACAAAATCAAAATAGAAAAAATTCCGGGAAAAATCATTACCAACCCCCCATTAACTATCACAATTTTTTTTCTTCTTTTTCTCATTTTCTGAATTGTCTTCTATCTTTACGCTAATTTTTCCTCGCATTTTCCACATCTTTCGAAATTTTCCCGAGGTTTTTCAATTTTTTACGATTTTTTCCACATTTTTTAACGAATTTAATTTTCCCTACTTTTTGTTCCCTGCGAGTGAGCCTGTACGTAAGTACAACTTCCCTGTAACATCACCAACCCCCCACAGACGGATGCTCTCACTCCACCACACGTATCTGATACGAAGCACTCGAAATGGGTTTTACACGCAAATTTTTATACGCAATTTTTTCGCAATTTTTTCGCAATTTTTTCGCAATTTTTTCGCAATTTTTTCGCATTTTTTTCGTTTTTTTTTCGTACCACTTTTCCCATATTTTTAACGAAATTCAAAATCTACTTTTTCTTAAATCGTCCTTGAGTGTTTTAAAAAATCACAAAATTGAATAGTAATATTTCTAAATATAATTTTCCAAATCACAAAAAAAACACTTCAAATCAGGCAAAGTTAGCAGAATTTCCGAATTTATATTTACCTTTTTTTTCTCCCATATTTAACGTCGAGTTTTTCCATTTTTTACGAGAAACAACTAATAAGTACTACGCCTTCCTAACGAAGAGGCGGAGCTCACTGAGTCCGCGTCCATGGACTCAATCAATGAGTTTTACATAGGTCCAGCCCGGTTCGATCCCCGGGTAGGACATTTCTCCATCATCAAAGGTTTTCGTCCATATCTCTTCGAGCTGTTCGCATAATCGAATTTTCCTTCGCTCCGTAGTTAAACCATAATAATTCTGCACGCATGCACAACGCGAGAGTGCCTCTTGTTACGGTATATACTCCGCTCGCTTCGTAATTCCAAAGGCCCCCCCTTCCCACTACTACCCTCATTTTCCGTACTGCTAGCTGACGTCTCCACATCACCAATATCAACAAGGCCAGCCGTCGAAATTGAGATTCCACCCGGCGTTTCGTCCCCGCCTCCCGAGAGATACCACTCGTCGTCCTCATCATCACTCGAATCTTCATCGCACTCGGAAGATTCCTCTGAGGTCCAATCATAAAAGATTCAAAACAGGTCCGAAAAAGTAACACTTACTTATCAAATCCTTTTCCTTGATGAAGTTTTTCGCGCCCATCGACAACTAAATGAGCAAAAAAAATAATTTTGATAAATTTTCATTTTTTTCTGCGAATTTCGTAATTGTAAACTCCTGAGCCGGAAAAAGCGAACACATATTCCTCCAACACTAAAACAAAAAGCCCCGGAAAATTCCGAGTAAAACCTAAATTTCGGGAAAATTTTCATTTTTTTCGTATGCAAACTTCCTGAAAAAAACAATTATATATTCCTCCAACACTAAAACGAAAAACCCCAGAAAATTCCTAATAAACCATAAATTTCCCGAAAATTCTCATGAAAAAACTCCAATTCCTCCAACACTGCCGAGATCCCATTTCCAACCCGCTCCTTCACACTACATGAGTAAAGCCTTCATACAAGTCCAGCCGTTCTCCTTCCTCAACAAAGAACCGTACCGTGTTAAGAGATATATTACCGCGTTTTAGATATGTGATCGTTTTACTCTTATTCGGACTACAAAAGAAAACATATCTTAGGTCGCATAGTTAAAGATTCAAATCAGGCCCAATTTTTGACATTATTGTTTCACCCTCGAGTGGTGTGAAAAAAGCAATATGAAGTGAATTGAAAATCCTCCGCAAATTTCGCCGGACAAATCATCACATTTAACGAGTTTTACGCGTTAATCGCTCCACACATGCGTTTTTCACCAAGTGAAAATATATTTTTCATACCACAAGTAAAACTCCATCGCCGTAAAATTTTTGCAAAAATACGCAAAAAAACTTCAAAAAATAATTTGCATTCCAAAAATCTCCACCACTACTACTCGTTAGATTGCTTTTTCGCTTGAGAATACACTCCTGCATTAATTGTTATTATCCCATCCGACCACACAGTACCTGGTAAAAGAAAAATACAAACCATGTCGACCCCTTATTAAGATACAAACCATGTCGACCCCTTATAAAGATACAAACCATGTCGACCCCTTATAAAGATACAAACCATGCCTCCTTATAAGA